ACCTTTTTTTGGCACAAGGTCATCTTGATGTGAAGAGCCACCCGTCTCCATGATGTTTTTCTATAGCCTATTACGTTCCTTCATAGAGTGCTCTCACACGTAAGCGGTTAATTAGGCGCGCCATCATGTGGTCGGACAATATTGCCTTTTAATTATTCTGCCATTGGTGCAATGACAATGTATCTATTTTTTATTATAATTAAAAATCGCGATACCTCGATTTAAGAAAAAAAATCGCCTTAAAACGTAAATTCGAATAAATTGAAAAAAATCGAAAGAATCGCCCAGCCCTAGTGCAAGCACAGAAATGGTGCATGCATGGATTTGGAGCTGAACAGATCTGGTGTCCCTGAGTTTTCCTCTGGGTGACAGTTTTCTGCTCCTGTTTGCTGTTGGTCTGTTTTTCCCCACACACTTCAAAGGGCTGCAGCTACCAGGGCAGTTTTCTACAGAGTGATATGGTCATTTAAAGTGTAGAAGTGCTTTTTCAAGAGTGGAAGCTGTGGACGGCTAAGTATTGGTCGAGGCTGGCCCAAGCTCCTCAGCAGTCGTACGCAAGCAGCCACAAGTACCTGGACTAAAAGTGAAAGAGCTCCTTCATCAGCATCAGACGTCAGGCTTGTGTCAGGTGCTGCCTGTGTTACAGGCAGAAACAGGAGAAAGCCACTTGGACAGGGGTGCAGCTGCATGGTTGGGCTCGATGTTTTAGATGTATTTGGTGCAGGTGGGAAATAAAAAGACCAGTGCTGATAAATGCTATATAAAATCTTGAATCTTGTTTTTTTCCTGTTTGTTTGTTTGGTTTTAGGGACGAGAGTGGATGACGCCAAAGCTCTGATCGCTGCCAGTCCACTGAAAATCCTGGCTTGTGACGATCTGGATGAAGCTGCCAAAATGGCACACACACACACACACACACACACACACACACACACCTCTTCATCATGTCGTACCTTTCTGAATGAATTTAACCATTGAAACTTTGATCTAAACAACCGTGTACCTCCCTTTTAAGACTTTAAGAGTGTGTCTGAGGCGACGTGTCCCTGTGGCTTTAAATCACTAAGTAGCAACCTGTAAAAACAGTCTTTATGCTAAGCTACGTTAACCAGCTGCAGGTTCCTATTGAACAGACAAACACAAGACGAGCCCTGTTCTTCTCATCTAAGTCTCAGTAAGAAAGCAAATAACTTTTCCTTTAAAGTAACACCAGTAATATAAAAACTGTTCAGTTATTAAAAGAATTTCCAAAGAAGCCATGAAGTCACTGGAATCTTTCAATAAGAGATTGGTTTACTTGCAGCAAGGAGACAAGTCAGTATAGGCATACAGAGTTGTCTGAATAAGCTAGTCTAAACATCACAATATATATGACAAAGGGAACTCCCTAAAGACGCATTCCAGGCGTTAATCAGGTTGTAAAAAAATTTTGCAGAGGGAAAGTGAACTTGAAAGGTTTTTTTGCCCTGATGACCCCTAAGACACTGCACAATCTGTTATCTGTCTATCTCCACAGTATATGGCTGGAGTGGTTTATGGCTGCTCCTTTAAGTCTGGGGTGCCATCTGGTTGAACACATAACAACACACAAAGTACTAAAACAGAGATAGAACATGTCCTTCAGTTCACACAAGCAGTGTCTCACAGGTCCCTGTGATCTGTAGTCTGTTCTGAAAGGTTAAA